ATTGATTATATATATAATAAAATAAGAGTGTGTTTGAATTTTATTCTAATCATATTTTTTTTCTCAAAATTATCATCAATCATTTACCTCACCCATCATCTCTTTGTCAAACTCAAACGTCAAATCACATCACTTATTTCAATCACATATTTAATTATTTATATATTTTCTTCTTAAAAATAATACACCACTCATTTATATCATATGTTTAATTATTTAATATTTAATTAATTTATAATTAATATATTTTAAAAAAATTTAATATAATGTGATCGATATTTTGAATACTCAAATTTTATATTTTATCGTACTTTCAGGATGGGTTACGACTAATATATATATATATATATATATATATATATAAAATAAGATATCGTTTACGCCCCAAATTGGTCAATAAGGCTACACAAAGCCTGATTGGAACCTTGCCGACCTAACCTACAAAGATGTAGATCAACTGAGATACAAAACAGGTCAAGAATCATTAAAGCAGCTCAATAATCACCGAAAGAGGTTCAGAAAAGAAATTACACCGCCAAACCCTACGTTAGATAAAAAAATATCTTACTTGGAATATCACGTCATAACTTCTATGCCAAATTATACATAAAGAAGAGAAACTTTGACAACTAACAAATTAGTTTAAATCTTTAAGTTTAAATAGCATTACTCGTGTTCTAATAGATTGGAGGAGCACACCGCCTTTGTGAATAAATAGGCAAGCTATTTCTCTGCCGACATGTGCAATTGAGAGTCCTCATTGTAATTCTCTTCTTCATCCTCGAGTAATATAAAACTTGAGAAGTAAAAGCTTCCATTAGAATAAATTAGTCTAACTCTTCAGTTTAATGAACCACTTATTTTATTGTCTTCTTGTCTCTCATGCTCTTGCTCACACACACACACACATAGATGATACATCTCACACATAGCTCTACCAACTCTCCCAGTTCATACTTAATTTTTATACCCCATCACTTATGCTCTGTTTGGTACGAAGAAAAAATAGAAGGATAAAAAATTAGAAGGATGAAAAGTTAGAGATATAGATAAAACATCATGTTTGGTAAGGAATGAAAGTACGAAGGATGAAAAAGTGGATGTATTAACTTTACTTCTAATTCAGTAAAATCAATTCCTCTAAAATCGGAAGGAAAGTGGATGAAAAGTTAATTATTTGTGTTGAGATGTATCTTATTTGTCTATATACATTAATTTATATAAAAATATAATGATAATATATATATATAAATAAAAAAAATTGAAATAAAAAAATAAAAAAAAATATATATTTTTTCATCTTAACTAGGGGTAAAAAATTTTGACTCAACACGATAATACGACTCTAACTCGACACAAATTTTATGACACGAACTTGATTATAATTTGACACGAACTTGAAAATAACTTGACATGCGAACAAGAAATATAAAAGACTCATAATTTTATGACTTAATACGACTCGATTGCTAACCCTAATTTTAGCCATCACAAAAAAAAATTAAAAAAAAAATTAGTCATTTTTATTTTCTATTCATCCAACCAAATATAAAGGAATGAAAGTGTATAATTCCTACTTTCCATCCTTGAAGAATAGAAAATATATCTCTCATACTTTTCATCGTTTCTAATTTTCATCATTCCTATCAAACGAAACATTATGATGTTACACGACTTGGAATAAAATTTGGGTCCAATACAAATTAATGCTCAAATTAGAGATCCCAATCCGAGTATTATTTCTGTTTAAATTAAATTTCCATTTTTTGTTCAAATCCAATCTAAACTTAAAAAATATTTCAAATTATATTCTACTTGACCTGCCCAAAAAACAACTGACTGGGAAGACAAGCCTTAGTTGTTGATGAAGAACACCATAGGGGAAGGGTAGGTTCTCTCTCTCTCTCTCAATGTGCTAACAATCGTGTGAATGCCCCTATCCCTTTTTCACTTTCGTTTTCGCTTTTTGTTGTGGAGCTTTGTTTGGACGACACCCACTAGAGATATGCAAAAGCCCGGGCGAGATGAAAGTGCTTTTTCCCTTTTATTTTGTCTTCACCAAATCACCTTTTTATATTGTGTCCCTATGTCTTTTCGCCTGTGGAAGTTCTCAATGACTTGAGTTTTGGCCAGATTTTTCCACTAGTTGTGGAATTTTCAAAAAAAAAATTGATATTTAAAAAATGTTGGTGCTCATAAAGCTTAAGTGCAAAAATGTGATACAAGTCTAACAATAACACATATTACTAACTCAAGTTACGACAGAAAATAATCAGCAGAGCCTTGACACCCTATAATAATAAATAAAAAAAAACATATTACCACAATTTAACAAAATATCACAACGTACATGTTACACTAGAAATACTTGGCAAGTCCACCAACTACGACCCCTACCTTTGTCGGTGAAACAATACCACGTTTCTTTGAGTCTTCATCAAATAATTTAGGGGTCGTACTTCGTAAATGATATGATATTTCAATGCTATGACCTCACCCATCCGAAAATCAAATCCGGATTTTGCTCCACTACTCAAGATTCTGTTGTTTTCTTTAAAAATTAATAAGCGAATCAAACGCAACCATTTAATAAATCGTATAATTTAGGGGTCCTAGTTAGCCTTTGTCTTTTTTTTTATATATTTAGAGTCAAATCATCCATTTAATAAGCTGATCTCGAAGAATTGTAGGGGTGATTGTTTACTTTTTTTTTGGGGGGGGGGAGGGGGGGGGGGGGGGGTTGGGGGCGTTGGGAATCTTTGAATTTGAGTGAAACAATAAAATAAAATAAAAATTCAATCTTTGAATTTGAGTGAAACAATAAAATAAAATAAAAATTCAAGACATTGACTACATCACATTAAATGGATGCATCCAGAAGCGTCTTTGTGTAGCATGTGATTCTAATCGGTTTTGAGAAAGAGGAGCACAGGATATGACCGTCTAAATTAATCAAAGGGAGATGACCAGAGGCAATGTTTTCATTAAGATGCTATTTATGGCTAGCTATAGTATACATGAGAGCTGGTGGTGTTCCAAATTGATTGGATTGGGTAGTAGAATATATATGGACCAAGTTCAACGAATGTGTGTGTATGGGAGAACGAGAGTGTCTATGTTATATGTATGATGCAAGAAGAAGACAACGATATAAGTATTTCACCTTAGTCAAGAGATTAATGTTATATCCACTATAAGAGACACTTTTTTTCGTTGGAAATTGTATTACTTAAGATGCTATATATGGCTAGCTAATAGACAGGAGAGCTAATGGTGTTTGAAATTAATTGGATTGGGTTGTAGAACAGATTGAGTGAAGTCCAACAAATATGTTTGGGAGAATATGAGTGTGTATGCTCTATGTATGATGTAAAACAAAGACAACGATATAAGTGGTTTGCTTTAGTTGAGGCACTAAGGTTACGTCCACCATAAGAGAAATTCTTACTCTTTGAGAATTGTTCTATTTAGAAAAAAAAGATTGTTGTTACTAGGAATTGTAAATTTGTCGCCAAAAAATGAGCATTTGGAGACGAGTTCAACATTTTGTTACAAAAAAATTTTAGTGACGGGCTTACCGTGACAAATGAGCGACGACAAAATATTGTCGCCAAAAGTCGAAAAATCAAATTTGTTGTAGGAAGCCTTTACAGGATATTGCCTAGGTTTTACTTAATGGTTCTCCAAATGACTTTCTCTTGCAATGTTGGCTATTTATACAACTTTAGGGTTCGTTTTTATCCTGGAGCTGTGGTCCTACACTAATTGTGAATTGTACTACTTGAGCTGTGGTCCTATAGTCTTTTTGCGCCCACTAATTGTGAATTGTACTACTTGACCTGTTTCCATTACTTGTGGATTTTTGTTCATAAGATGCTTACTTGTCCCCGGTCCATGTGTCCCACCGCAACTTTTGTAGTTTGGCCCTGTTCCGTGCTCCCAACTATCGAGTTGGTAATTATACGGAGCTCGTTAATATCTAGCGTCCATGGAACTTGGTTGTGGCCCAGTTCGGGCCAATGAATGTCTGAATAAAAGTTGAATAATAAACTGTTTGAATTTAATTTGAGGTAAGGTTAGTAGTTAGTTTAATATCCACCGCTGGTGCCCAGTGATCAAGTCACCAACTTTAATTATTAAAAGATGTGCCCAGTACATAAAATTCTTGTTATTGCGGGGTCTAGGGAGAATTAAATTTACATAATCTTATCCAAATAAACTATTTTTGTGACTCAAAACTAATTTTAATTATTATTGATGTTTAAATAAAATTGCAAGCAATAATTACAACTCTCGAACAAAGGGGATGAAAAGAGAGTAGCATTACTAATTAAGCATCCTGTACACGAAGAAAAGAGCCTTTTATGATTCGATCAAAAGTGGAAGATTGATGCTCCATCCATTTATTTTGAACAATACATCAAAACTTCGAGTGGTTGCCATTTTTTCTTTCTTTCTTTTTTCTTTTTTTTGGGTGGCCATTTACACTGCTCAAAAGTGGAAAACAATTACAAACATTACAAAGGGAAGGAAGGCAGCTTGGTAGCAAAAGGAAGCATCCTCTCCTGTTTTTTTTTCCCTTTTTATAAGAATCCTCTCAAAGCTCAATACATTTAACCAAATCTTGTGCAATAAACTTGGATAATTATAATAATCCACTAAGCATTTTAATATCGGTATGCCGAAATTATTTGATTTGTTAGGTAATTTTCAAGTCAAACAATTTTCAAAACCCATAAAATTTGTGTAAATCATATCGACACAAAACAATCGAATCAAGAAAGAAATTAGTTAAGGTATTTGTGAACTGACTGGCCGTTGAAAAAAAAAAATTAATCCAACAAAAAACCAAATAGTAAATCCAAGGAGTTCAAGTATGTTTTTATTTGATCATATAGAATCCGTATGTATCTTAAAAAGAAAAAGAATTAGCCACTCCATCTAATCCTTCTAATGCTGCTTACTTAATATAGTGTTAAAATATGGTAAACCATGCCATTTCAAAACCCAACAACAAAACTTCCAAGCAATAGCAAAGTTACATAAAAACCAGCGAGACTCTGCCCAAACATTGAAGCCGCCCCAGCTTTATCAGACCCACTCGGCCCTCCACTAGTAGTGTTAGAACTACCACCACCAGAACCACCACCGGTAGTAGTACCATTACTCTGTGCTACCTTCACCAACTCTAAACTCCCCTTGGAATTTAGATTCGCCGGCCCAAAATCATGCTTCATTGGCACTCCACTGGTCACCGACGCACCCACCTGCCACACCTGGCTCACCGTCGTCATGTTCTTCGGCAATGCTAGCGTGGCAAATATCATCATGAGCCCACCGGAGTACTCAGCTCGCGGGTTCAGCACATCGAACGAGAGCTTCGATTCCACAACGGACGTGTACGAGCTGATGTTATAGGTCTTGACGGCCATAGTTCCGTTGGAACCTTGAAACGCAATCAAAGCTTGAGAGCCAGCCATTCCTGTGCCAGTTGGATTTATGGCCCAGGCGATCCAGCCAGTGGGTTTTGCCGGAGGGGCGATGAAGAGGATGGAGAGAGATGAATTTGTGGGTTCGTAGGTCCAGTAAAGGTAGGAGCTTAGAGTGGGTAAATCTGTGCAGTTTGTGTACAAGATGTTGTTTGTGAAATTTTTTGACGAACAGTTGAGTGATTGTGTTGGTGAGATTAGCAGAAAAAGTAATGGAAACCCTAGAAATAGGGCTGAGAACCGGAAAGAGGCCATTGGAGAAAGCGTGAGATAGGTTTATCGGAGGGTTTGTAAGAGTTGCTGTTAATATGGAGAGTTTTATAGGGAGAGATATGAAAGCTGAAGATGTTGGGGTATGAATTATGTGGACTGAGACGGATATGTGAAGCGAATCATTGAGTGACACGTGGAAAAGAATGTCAGGATGATGAGGTGGCGTTGGGATATTGGTTTATGAGGTTGTTAGGGTTTGACTGACTTGAAAGGGTTTTTAAAATTTGAAGATGTGCTGAGGACCAGCGTGCACGCACAAGTTGTGTGTTTGACGTACATGTTTGCAATCTTTTGAGGAATTGAATTTGTGTGTTTTGCATGATTAATGAATTTTGAATCCTAACGTCCATATCGTTTTATCCTGAAGACAAAATCAAATCTAAGCACTAAAATCAATAGAGCTATGGGACATATATCCAAAATGAGTATTGAGACGGCCAGATCTAAATGTGTGGGAGAGAAGACTCGTGGTACTCGAGGGTTGAGATGGGTAGGTGGAGCATTGACTACTGCACCTCCCAATGAGGAAGAATTGCTGCCAATTCACATTGGGCGCGAATAAATGAATAATGGTATATAATTTAAATGTAATTCAAAACAATCGTAATTCCAAACACTTGCCCAAAACTACATAAAGCAATCGTATAGAAATTTGCAACTACACTTAGTTAAAGAGAAATATTATATTTTCTAAATTAAAATTCAAATTTTGTATCCTAAATATATGTACACCGCACATCACAAAGGATGGATAAAAAGTACTAGGAGCCCTCTGTCCCACGCATCTATTCAGAAGCAAGTGTAGTTCACCGGTTTCTCTTTACCTTCTAGTCTTCCATGTCCATTTTTCACACCTAAATCTGGCTGTTTGTATGTAGTGTTTAGGTAAGGCAATAAATGCAATTTATAACTTACTTGACATTGAGAAAGTCGGAATACTAAGGACATAAAAGTAAATTAAGGGTGAGAAAGTCGAGAATACATTGTCGTTTCCACAGAGTTCTGTACCCAAACTACGCAGGAAGGGTAAAAGTGTATGGGCGACATCCCAATTATCCATCAATAGAAAAAATAAGGGTTTTAAGGGGCGGTGCCCTTTTTAGAAATTATGGAAAAAAAATCACTTTTAAAAATATAGGTAAAAAAATACACAACCTCTAACAAATCTCTAAAATACCTTCTTTAGTATAATGAAAACTCATTCCTATATTTTTGCCTCCACAATCGAAATATTAGGGATATCAAATATTATCCATAAAACTCCTTTATCGCCGAAACCTCCATTATTCCAAGATTGATAAAAAAAATATCCCTAAAACCTACATTCTTTTCAAAATGTCCTAATTCCAATGGATCTAGACGATTTTCTCTTATTGAAAAATCAACTCTCGATAAAATTATCAACGAAGTCCAAATTCTTTTGTTTCTGATCAAGAGGACTCATCGAGATCGCAAAACTCTAAGGACTTGAAGCACAAGGTTCCGAACATTCACGATGTTGAGGTGGACCGCAAATGAGGATCGTAGAATGTAGAAACCACCATGAATTTGTACATAAAAAAAAGGAAGGTTCTGAGAGGATTCATCTTCTTTAAAACTTGCAGATCAGGGAGGCAACGTTCAAGAGGCGTAATGATTTTTTGGAAAAATTTCAACTACACCCTTTTTAGTTTACTATATTTTTAAGGACACTCCATCTTTTATCAAAAATATCATTAACACTCCTTTTAGTGTGATATTGACTTGTATCGTTGTGACATTGACTTGTAATATTGTGACATTGTTGTGTATCACTGTATTAAATTTAAATTTAAAATATTTATGGAAAAAAACACTCTTAACAATCAATAGTATTATATAAGGTAAAAACATATATTTCTCATTATGATTTATAAAAATAAAAAAAAAAATTATATAAATGTAGTGTGACTTTTTGGTTGGTAACAGTGTGAATTTTGGATGGTAACAGTGTGTTATTACTCGTACCATTGTCATTAAAAGGTATCACTGTGATATTTTAGTTTATAGTATGATGACATTGAATGGCGGGAGGGTGTCATTGACAGATATTTTCGATTTTAATGATAGAGGAATAAATATGAAATGAATGTTTTAATAAACGGTTGTTCAATAATAGATAAATAGGTAATTTAAAATTAAAAAAGATATACCATAAAATTAGAAAACTGAATCCCTATATAACTGTCATATTTGTCTCCCATTAATAAAGAAAAAAGACAATTTAGTAAGAAAAAAAAATTACAATTCAACAAAAGTGTATCTCTTTACCAAATATTTACACATAAAAATACTTATACACATATTTTAAATTGAGATATTTTTACACAAATAAGTATGAAATGATGTACCTTTTCACAATTTTACCAATATAGTTCAAAAGATTAAGGGTTCGTTTGATAACGCTTTTTATTTTTGTGTCTTCAAAAAACCAAAAACAGAGACAATTTTATGTCTTTGTTTTGTGATAAACACTGAAACAGAAAACATGTTTGGTAGTCATTTTTGTCTATCAAATTATGAGAATAAAAAATATAAAACATGTTTGGTAACTACCTCAAGTTTTATCCCAAATATGTTTTATAATATCTCATTTTTTTTTAAACAAATCAACACCTTTATTTCATAATGTGGACAAGATATCCAACATTTGGTTCAATCCACTCCAAAACCTATTCGAACACCAATTTAAACCAATCCAATTCCATATGATCAAGTGAAATCCAATCCAGAGATATCCCATCAGGCAAACAAGCAACTACTAAACAGCAGTAAAAGTTCAATATGACTTAAGTACAACTCTCAAGAATAATATTTTGTCTGGGCATTGGAGCAATTCCAAATTTTTTTTTAATTTTTTTTGGTAAAAAGGAGAAATATTATTGATAAAGGACAACATTACAAGAAGCAGAAAAAACAAAGCTTTAACAACAAAGAAAAAGCCAAAGTTGACTTTAATCCTTCAAAAGAAAGACAAAAAAAATGCTTTCATTCAAAGTCAACACTGCCCAGCATCTCAACAACAACAAGACCTACATCCACCTTAATAGCACCCCAAAAGCAATGAACCTGCTGGAGACGCAAAAGGACATAAGCCCAGCTGAAAACCAGTTGAAGACCCAGCTGAAAATCTAATAAAAACCAGCTGGACATCCAGCTACAACCAGCTGCAAAACACCATGAAGAACCGAGCAGAGCAGTTACATGAAAAAAACAAAATTCAACTGAACGGAACCAAGAATTCCCAACTGCAGAATCCTACTAACAACAGCTGCCATCATCAATGAAATCCCATAAAGCAGTAAACTAGTTGAACACCAGATGAGAGACCCCCAAGAACTAGCTGAAATGCCAGCAAGAGCCAAGCTGATACATCAACAAAACAGACAGTGCACATGAACATTGGACGTGACCAGTGCATCCCAACAGCAAAATGGATCATGATGAAGCAGCTGACAAACCATCAAGAGCAGTTGAGGAACCAGCTGAGAGCCAATAGATGAACCACTAAAGCACTTGGACAGAAAGCAGCAGCATTAGAAACCAGCTATTCATGTGAACAGTCGCGTGAATAGTGCACAAAGCCCAAAGCAGAGAGAACAATCAGCAAAATGAAGAATGATTATGCACCAACGCCCCAGCTCCATGTCCTGACAAAAAGATCACTGCAGCACAATCCAGCACCTCACATAAACCGATGATGATAGATAAAAAGAAGAAAGACCAACATAAGTTGGCTTTAATCCTTCAACATGGATCAAGTTGTACATCAAATCCAAGTAATGCATTGATAGACAAAAAAAAAGGTGAAAAGAATAAATGTAACCACCATCAATACTCATCATCCTAATATGAACATCACAGATAATTTCATGTATTGACAATTGAAAAGCCATAACAGATAGCCCAATTACAAAAAAAGAAATTCTACTAAAATTCTAGCTGACGCTTGAGTGAAATGCAGGCTCCAAGCTGCAGTTGAGGAAACATGACAATGGTACAGTCGCACAGATAATAGACATATCTTAGATGGATAGACAAGGGAGCTTGATTAAATTCACATCATCTGCGGTTTTGAGACCTATGAAGCAATCCTAATCAACTGTTATTCAGTAAATATAAAATCCAAGATTATTCGACCATCCTAATTCATGCGCATACAATATAAAGCTCCCTTTAATGGCCAAATAGGCTTTATAAGGGACGTATACTAGGCTAAGGATTATCTAATCCTTATGCTTGTTAGTGCTCTTTTGCAATCATTATTTATAAATTATTTAATGATATTCGATCCACAGATTTGACAAATTATTCCCTACCGAGAACAAAATTGACAATGACTGATAGAACAAGCACACGTCTAATTGAAACTTCATTATGACTAGTTGAGCTAAATCCTGAAAGCAAATTAGAAAAGTTTCTATTGACAATCAACTTGCTAATCTACCTTTAAAGCCAGATAAAAAACAAAAATAAAATTAAATATCAGTTTGATGAGTTTCTTAACAGAGACAAATGTCCAAGCTATTCTATAAATATACAGGAAATTGTGCATTGAAATATGGTCTGTAAAACCAAATCTAATGAATGGTTTGCAAACAAAACAAATGCAAAACCGAATAAAATGAAGGATTTTTGAATAATGACATCAAATTATATAATTTCGCTTGGCATTAAAGAGAAGATTTCCCCAACGTTGATGCCCACAAATGCAAAACCACTCAAACAATTTAAACATATTTTCTAAGATAGCAAAACTAGAAAAAAAAATATGATTAAAGCACAAAACCGTACAAATCTATGTAGATAAAAAAATATAAATAAAAAAAAAAGATCTATGTAGATTTATGCATATATATACAGATCTATGTATATATATACATATACGTATACAATGAAAGGGGTTATACTTACCTTCTTCGTCTTCGGCTTTAAGTCGTCTTCGTGTGAGCCTTGCTTCGTCTTCGTCGATCTGTGAGTGGAAGAGAGAGAGAGTTGTTGAGAGAGCTTCAGAGAAGAAAGACGTACTGAGAGAGAGACAAGAAGAGACAATCGCTGCTTACCTTCACAAAAGAGAGAGAGTGGCTGAGAGAACAGAAAGTGACTGAGCAACTGATCTGTGGGAAGAGCAAGAGTGGCTGAGACAAAAAAGATCCCATATTTATAGCCCCTGTTTTGAAGTGGAATTTTGTGGCTAACAAGAGTTGAAGGTAATACCTCATTTAAACAATTCACGCGTATTTTCTGTTTTGTGTGTTTCCTGGAACAAAAATTTTTTGTTTCCATTTTTCTGTCTTTGTCTCCAATACAACGAAAACAAAACAACACAAAAAAAAAAATAAACAAACATATTTTTGTTTTTATTTTAAACAAAAACACAAAACTCATAACAAATACAGTTACCAAACAGGCCTAAGTGTTCACATAACATTTTCACAAAAAGCATTTAGATTTTATCCAAAATGAATCTGGACGGTTGGATTATTGGGGTACTTTTAACAAAACTAATGACATGCAACAATGTTCAGGGGAGAGATGAGAAGAGTTTTTTGTTCCCAAATTAGGAGATTCGGAGTTTAATTCAACTCAACTCAATAACAATGTCTTTTTCTAACATTTATAGGTCAGTTGCATGAATCATATTTTGTTATTGTGTTTTATTAAGGGCTATATTTTGTGTGAAACTACAAGTTATTCCATTTTTTTTTTTTACTATTTTATGTAAAGTTATTTTGATCTTTTTTACTTTTTTGATCACCGTCAATAGCTATCACATCATTGTTTCTCAAAGGTCCTATAGTAAATAGTTTGCAAATATGTCTAAATCACTTAAAATTAATTCTCTCTTAATTTATCTTATTTTTAGGAGATCTATAACTCATTATTGCTACCCTAAAAAAAGATGGATTGGAGATCGATTCCTAAGTCTAATAGGATTCCAAAAAAAAAAAAATCCCACTCACTGATTTTCTTTTGAATTAAGTCTCTATTAAAAAATCAAAGTAATAGACATGGCTAACACCCTTTACAATTACAAAAAATAAAGATAATGTCGTCACTTAATTTAAACATCTATTCTAAAAAGTTAAATTATTATATTATATATTTTTGTCCATAAACACAAATCATAAGACACATATGCTAAAAAAAAAAATTTGGTCTACAATTAAAAATAAATATTTATATACTTTTGAGCCAAAGAATAATAGGTACACAATCAAAAAAATAATAGGTATGTAATAAAAAATATAAACAATAACATATATGTAACAATCATTAGACAAGTACACTAAAATACGGATTATTAATGTACTTTTTTTTTATAAATACATATCATTAGACAGGTATACTAAAATACAGATTATTAATGTACCTTCTTATTCATACACACAGATCGTCAGACATCATCTTATGTCTAAATTGATTGGTTCACGAGTTTGAATTTTAAAACTGATACACAACACTGAAAAAATCTCAATAATAAACGCAAAAAAAAAAAACTATATTTTAGGCTGGAATCATGTAATGAGAGCAAAATGGGTAATAAAAACTAGTAACTAACTAATCCTTTAACATTCGTGTCAACACAGGGACCGCATGCAAGTTTTTTCAAAAATTGGAGAACCTTTTTTTTATACTAAAAATTCAATAGGACAAAAATTAATTTACACACCAAAGGAAAGAGTAAATATTGAATGGAACGGTAATACAATGTATCATCAATTGATGACATGTTATCATCAATTAATAATAAAACTCCAAATGAGAATGGTGAACCCCCAGACTTACATGACAAAAATGTGGAAAGTTATTTGCTTATATTGCATGTTAGTTATTGATTTTTATGAGATTCATCTGCTTATTTGTTTTAATATTATTAGTTGGTGATACAACATCACCTTGTTACGTGGCATCACCGTTGTAATGAATATTTTTTTCAAATGAAGGACCTTAACCTAATTAACTTTAAAAAAAAGAAAAAAAAAAAAAAAGAGAACTCACTGTTGGCCTATCGCTATAAAAATAAGATACGATGCACATAGTGGGCCTTGGGTTCAGCTGATCCTGATCTGATCTGCGTAAAGAACGAGGTTTTGGGCCAGGCCCAAACAAACCTTGCAATATCCGAGCTCCAAGCCCAGGCATCTGACCCTAGTTCAGTCACCTCTGCGTTTCGAGCAGGCTTGAAACCCATCTCTCTATCTCTCACACACACAACACGCACGCACGCACGCAGTGTAGTGTAGCGTGATTTTCTGCATCTATACTACTTGGAGATAATTTTGTATGCTCATTTCGTGTATTTAAACTGTTCTGAGGTTGAATGTACTTTGATGCAGTGTTAATTTTTTATTAGGGTTTCGTATTGGATTCGCTGGTTCATATTCAGTTTATGGTGATGTCGTGGCGTGAGAAAGAAAATGCTTAAAAATGATGAGAGATTTAAATCATATTATGGTATAGCTCTATCAGCCGGTATTGATAACTAGTCACCTTAGAATTGACTCAAATACAACTTAAACGATTTAATCGAATCATACGAGACTCTAAGTTTATAAGCATCTAATAATTGTATCGTCTTGAAAGAAATCGAATTCCACAAACAAGAAACAACGCTTCAAGTATGTCTATAGGTGTAGGTATCGTGAAAGTTGTGTTTGCCTGGTATTGCATGGTATCTAATTTCATTTATTGAACTCGCTGAAATTCGACAAACCTTTGGGGTACTAATTTGAAGTGATTCAGTTTTCTCTTCGTTTTTCTGCTAATTCCTTTTCCTTTCTATTTGTGGCTCAATGGTTTGGTTTGTTTGAATGATAGAGAAACCATGGCTGTTCCTTTTCTCTCCAAGAAGATAGTGAAGAAGCGTGTCAACTGTCAAGAAGTTGAATAGGCCACAAAGTGACTGGAAATTTGTTGATGTCTTCGGTACCCGCTACTGTAGTGTGGTCATATTTTTGCTTATCAAGCACTTCAGCATTGCTCGGTTTATGAACTACCAGCTCATGTCAGACTCCCTACAATCTGTCTTAGGTATGTGTGAACAGATTAGTTTAATATTGGTCGAGTAGTCAATCTAATGCAATTAGCAAGGTGGGCAAGTCAAAATAAACACCGTCTCTTTCGATCAAACAGGTGTATTTTTGTTAGTATCTTTGAAAAGTGGATATAAAAATTTGTTTCTTAACCTGGTCAAAGCTGTAGTAATCTTTTGGCCCTGCTCTTAGGAGTCAACTGTGTTGCAGTTTATAGGTGGCTGCACGTAAAAAATTGTGATTGAGTGTCATTTTTTTGAGACGTACAAATGGTATATTTTCTCGGGTAATAGGATATTTATTTTTTACGTATTACAAAACGAAATTCATTTTTATCAAGAAATTAGTCCCATGGTTATAATTTTGAGTGCCTACTTAATACATCCTCTTTTTTGAGTTGAAAATTCGTCATCAACATTTTTTCCTTATCATTCACTACTTCCAAAAGAGAAAAAACACGTTCATCCGCCCAGGAAAGTTCTTCATTCCAATTATTTGAAAGCTATGGTAGGTGTGTAAATTGACCAGTCGCCTACTAAGTGCACAAGAGCTCAATTTTGTGATGAGTGTTGCTTCTAAATTTAAATACTCTCTCAACAAGTGCCCCAGCCATGATAAGTTATTTAACGAATCATCTTATACCCTTTTTCTCACTTTATCCTATTAAAGTAAATACCCGAATCGATATTGCACTGGTGTGATTGTGCTTGGCTATGGAATCAATATGTAGTTGTGCTTTCTGCTCTCTGTTTCTCCAAATGGGAATAAATTATTGTGGAAGGATGGCTTTATAATAATTTGATTCTACTTGTTGCTATGTTTAGATCTTTCCATTGATAATGACAAAAGATCTTCATGTGTGTGGTTTCCTTGGTAAACCCGTGGTTATTCATCTTGGCTTCACGGATATTTTGATGTGCTTGGTTTCTGTATAATTCTCAAAGCATACGTAAGCACCTGCTGTTTGGGCGTACTGATTGGAAACAGATACATGCTTGGGGCATTAGACTTCTTCACATTCTGTTCTCCAATGTATTATATTTCCAACTCCTACATGTCTTATTCTGTTGAATGCGTATAACTTCCGGTTGCAGCCAAACTGGCGAAGGCCGAAGGGCATTGATTACCATGTAAGGAGAAAGTTCAAAGGATACAACTTCATGCCCAACATTGGTTATGGCTCAGACAAGAAGACTCGCCATTATCTTCCCAATGGATTTAATAAGTTTGTTGTGCACAATGTTAAGGAACTTGAAGTTTTGATGATGCACAATAGGTAGATTATGGTTCATTTTTATATGGTTCTGGGATACTCTCGATCCTTCTCCCCTATCTAGACAGCTCAACCCCATGCTAATGTTATTATTCTTGAGAAGTTTTATAGATCTGATATTATGACTGACTTCTTGGTAAATTATCAGGAGTTATTGTGCAGAGATAGCACATAATGCATAGTTATCAGAAACAGACCGTACTATTGGCAGAGATATCGGATCAATTATTTATTGATTCCACTAGCTGGACCGGCCATATAATAAAAAAATATAATAATTTAGCTAAAAAAATATGAAACATGTTCCCAATACATACAATTTTTCATAAAATTAATGGAGTTAAGTAGAGAAATAAAAAATTAAAGATTAACTAACATATTACGAAATATGTTAGCTCTCTCCTATTTTTTTATGATTATACATTGAACTAAATTTAGAGCTTGTGGTTTATTTTTAACATGTTGAATTGAAATTATGGTTTGTAGTCCTCTGTTGCATATTATTTATTACATGTTGGATTGAAATTATGAAATTGGGGCTCGTAGTCTTTTCTGATGTTTCGTATTTTATGTATTAAATTAAAATTGAGATTTGTAATCCTGTATTTATTTTTCTATGTTGAAATAAAATTGGGGCTTGTAGTCCTCTTCTATAATTTATTTATATATATATATATAATTGATAATTGGTTTTGTAGTCCTCTCTAGTGTTTTATTTGTATGTGTTGAATTGGAATTGTAGTTTTGCATTATAGTTAGACTAAATTGATTTGATTTAGAGGTTTGAATAATTTTATTGTGATTAGTTAAGTAGTTCGTGTACTTAGGTTTAGTTTAATAGAATAATCATAATTAAAGTTATTTTCAATTGTTTATTAAAATTCAATGATGAATAATATAAGTTTGTGATTGAACAAATTATTTTTTGAATTAGTTATGGAAAAATTTCTTAAAATTCAATTTATAATTGAATCCAATTTTTTTTATTAGGTCTTATAGATAAATTTATAGTAATTTTTTTTTTGTTTTTTGTATATCGTTCATATATATGGGTTGTACATTTTATTAGTGTTCTATTAATAAAACTAAAATTTTTGCTCTTTGCCAGACGGTTTGACACTTTAGATGGTCTAACTACAGAATTGATCTGGTTCAATGTGATTCTAATAACACTGACATAATGCATCAACTCACAAAAGAAAGGTGACAATTGAGCGGGCGGCACAACTAGATGTTGCCGTTACCAACAAATTGGCCAGGTTGCGCGGCCAGGAGGACGAGTGAGCATTGTTGCAGTGTGTTATATATATCTGCTTCTGGTGCTCTACTCTCCCCATTAGGTAGTATGAGAACTTGGAATGAAACAGATTTCAGGCAATCTCGTTTTTTGGGATTCCACAAGTTGGTTGCCAGGCCTGTATGGTTTTATCTTTTCATGTAGTGATGGAATAGAATTGTGACCGTTAAGTCTTGTTCGCTGTTCCAAGTTGAAATCAATTTTCTCTGTCTAGGGTGGTTTGTTAGGGCTTATTATACAGAGCCATATCTACCTGGCTGAGCAGACACTTAGGTGACTTGAGGGCACAATCGATAGATAGATAGAGGTGTTTGTGAGACCCTTTTTGTAGTTGAACTTCAGCCATATAATGTGAAGACGAACAAGTTTTCCTTGCAGTAGTAAACCTACTCATGAAATGTAGTGTGTGCTGAGCTCTAATCTCGCTTTTCATCCTCCCATTCACGTAAATGGGGGTTTAAGAGTCAAAGCTGGTGGCTATGTTTTGCCCATAAAGTTGTAGGCTCAGGAAGTTTGGGCAACAAGTCATTTCCATAAAAAATGCCGACGTTGGCATTTTTTTAATGAACCGTTGACCCAACAAGATCTGCAACGTTTGGGCAACAACTTTAATGATCATTTGACGGAATATGTTTATTTTGAATCAAAATTGTGCCGTGTTCAAATTGGTTTAATTCATGTACAATCTATTTATCATGGGAGTCAAGCTTGGCGCTGAAGATGCAACAACTTCAATAATAGTTGCAGCAGCACATAATTTGTTGTATGACTGTGTTGTTGTGATATCTCATGTGGCTGTATTAGTAGGCGTCGATTTTGTTATAGCAATTTATGAGGTAGTTAACAGTTGCATCATACATCTATGAGTATGACCCAACTTTCTGTTCCGTAGGCTTTCTGCCATTCTTGGTGAGGTGGTTCTCAAACCTACCTGTTCACATCACAATAATAATAATAATTATTATTATTATATTATACTAATGTCACAACTTGGATTTATCCAGTTGTTTCATTTCGACCTCTTGAAAATCCAGTTCCCAATAAAAAAAAAAAAAACACTCTTGAAAGTAATGGTTTGTTCTCTCGGAGTGAGGAATACTATTTAAATTTAAAATTTTGATTTAATTTATTAATATAATGATATGATTTTATAGGAATAATTGACTCAACATTAAGTTTTAATATTTGATAGAGTCTATAGTGAATCCAAATATCACACTGAATTAGATCAATAAATTAGGTTTCTATATTGTTCAAAAAAAAAAAAAAAGGTCTCAACAGCATTGCTCATTCGATATTATATCCAACTTATGGTTGTACCATTAGAACATCTGCTAGAGTTTATTTGGATGGATTTTTGGGGAGGGTTAGGGTTAACTTCCCCACATCTTTCTGGACTCAAATCACTTTTAACAAAAATGGGATTTTAAATTTAAATCTAATTTATATCCATGTTTGGTATGCAACACATACATATGTAGAATCAACGGATATATCATAATTATTAATAACTATTTATCTTATAAATGACTATTTTATCTTTGATAAATCTAATTCAAACTCATGTTAATGAGTACAATTATATTTTATATCCTTAACTCCTTAACTTATCTTCTTAAACCCACCCCGTCCTAAGTTTGATGAAATTCATAAGCATGGGTTTAATATTTGGGATAGTTACGGGTCAAAATTTGGAGACTTAGGATTGAATTTTTAATTCAAACATGTAATTTAACTATCCTTTAAACTATTTTTCATACCCATCTTATCATACCCCTTACCAAACAGCCCCAGAGTCTAGGTTGGTAACGTGAGTTTGTGGTCATTTATCTATCCCATTGACAGAACAACCAGTGAACACAGAAGTTAATTGAATTGACACAAAAGTAAACATATTTATCTAGGACATGCCTTTAAATTACACTATTCGATTCAAAATTTAAAAAGTTATTAATGCAAGTTTGGACACCCTATGATCACCAATATCCAACAATTACTAATATTTCTCTCAAAATTATTCATTTATATTGTATCTTGAGGTTCAAATTATCCTAATATATATATATACAACCCCACGTTCTAGACACAACATAGGGGAGGGGTAGGGGGGGTGGGGTTGGGTGTGGGAGAATATGTTCATTGAAAATATTCTCACTTTGTGGTACCAAAAATAAAAGCACAATTGTCAAATCAACAATTTCATCCTATTATTGAATTTCGGGTGAACAAAATTAAAATATATAAATTAAAAAATCAAAATATTGTCAGCCTGAGTTGGGTGACTCAGTCCTTCACCCCACACCCCATTATTCGTACTCTCCTCATTCTTCTTCTCCAAGTTGTTTTCTTCCCCTTTCTCCTTCTCCCCAGTTTCAAAAATTCCTTGGACAAAAGCTTCCACTTCAATTCCCTTATTGCCTTCAATGTCCTCAGCCTCCGGCCGTACAGGTACAAACGGAGGCCGTTGGATTTCCAAAATCAAACTCCAATCAACCCTTCTGAAGAAAGGATGGCCCTTGATTTCCTCAAGTGAGATCCTCTGCGTTGGGTCCTTTTCCAGCAATTTTCCAATTAAGTCCCTTAACGCCGTTTTCTCTCCGACTAACTCCGGCGACTTCGTTAAAATCCGAAAAAACGTCTCTTTCCTATCAGCCCCCCTGAACGGCGTCCTACCGTATAACATTTCGTACAAAACGACACCTAAGCACCACCAGTCCACCGCAAAATCGTGTCCCTTGCCAAGTATGATCTCGGGTGCAACGTATTCCTCTGTTCCAACGAACGAATTCGACTTCGCATCCGAATCAGACTCCGAAGTGTGATTCTGACTCACTGAGTTGAAACCGAGTTCAGCCTGGTTGTCCGAGTCTTCAGGTGAAATTCCTGAATTGCAACATCTGTAGAAAGGAGGAAATTTCTTTTTCTTTATATGATCGGATTTCTGAAGCGATTTGACGATGCGACGAATTTCGGGAGTTTTTGCGGAGAGTTTGGTTGAGAGATCGAAATCGACAAGCATTAGATGTCCGTTTTCTTGGATCAGTATATTTTCTGGCTTCAAATCTCTATATACTATTCCTGAACTATGCAAATACTCCAACGCCAGTACCAATTCCGCTCCATAAAACCTGAGATTTTGAATTTTGAAATATTATTTTTGTCGTAAAATAATCTGAAAACAATTTCACACGCATGAGAGAGGGCTTTGAGAAGATCAGTGAATTTACCTGATGGGGTCATCGGAGAACATCTTCTCTGTCTGCTTCTTTCTGAGAGAATTGAGATCGCGTCCAGGACAGTAGTCAATAGCATATCCAACGATCTTTTCCGTAACCACAACTCCATGAAGTTTCGGCAACAGAGGATGTTGAAAACACCTCAACACTTGTTGTTCAAAGCAAATTCGTCTGTACTCACTACCATTGCTATGACCGTTAGCCTTGTTGTTCTTCCCGATCGAAGCTCTTAAGATTGCTTTCAAAGCAAGCAATTCTCCGCTTTCCGTTTGGACCAAGAATACCACGCCTTTCGCACCTCGGCCTAGAGCAGATACAACTTTTAGCTTCCGGAGATCTAAAGAAGGGATGGAGTGGTCGTCTCTGTCGACGTTCATGGCAGAGATCACCGGAAAAAGATTAATAGACTTTTCTGTACGCTTTCCACAGAATTCTTAGAAGAATCAAACAGCCGGAGTCTCTTTTTCTGATCGGAAGTAGGCAGGAATCGCCGGAAATTTATTGAAACGGTAGCAAATCCCAGTAGCCTCTGGTTAGAGTTATAGGTTCTTCTACATTACATGACTCACTTTAAATGTGAAAAAGGGATTATAGCGGGAGACAAGTGTATGGAAGGTTCGCTACCTTGCTGAGGAAGTATATGGAGGGAGAGAGAAAGATGGCTCGTGAGGCTGACCAAAATAGTACAACAAATAAATTAATGGATAAATATACAGTAAATTACACTTTAATCCTTTAAATTACCCTTTAATTACTTTAATTATTTCACATTATCGCAATCTTAAACATCTATTATCTGTTTGGTCAAAAATTACTAACGTGTTGAAGAAAAATAAAAAGAATTGCATAATTCAGGAGACAAAATAAAATAAATTTTTATTAAATTTGAGACAGTCATTAATAATTGAGGCCATGTCAAACAAATCACATAATTAAGGTGTGCAATATAAAAATATGATAATTGAGGGAGTCAAAATATAATTTATCCGTAAAAATATTAGAATTTGTCTTGTGAGGTATATGCATGCGACTTGCAATGGCAGAAAAAATGCAAAGTTGTCAACTTTGAATAAACAATATTTTTTTCAAAGGCGAATGCCGTACGTATGATGCGTCTTTCTAATACTGAAAATGTACAAAATAAAAAAAAATAAAAAAGACTTTAATAAGAAAATGCAATGTTTAATGTCAATGTTAAACAATAATGATTTTATCGGATCGTAATCTTCTCCAATACCTTTTTTTTTAATTTCTTTCTTAACACATTATTTATCATTAATGAGTAAGGACCCACTTGTATATAATAAATATCCAAATGGTGGATGATGTGTAAAGAAATGAATTGAGGTGCAAACATATTAAAGATGATCTCATTCTAATTTTGTCATCTTAATTTGTTTTTGGTTAATTTTCAATTTCTCTTCTTTTTTTTTTTTAAATTGTAAGTAAGAGTTTAAGCGAGTTGAATTTGTTATAACTTAGTATGTTTATGTTAGGTTGAATTGTTGTTGACCGGGCTCGAACTTGAGCAAGGCTTATGTTCTTTTCGAAGCAAAACTTGTGTATATTCGATCTAAACTCAAGTTCAATACTCATGAAAACGTCTTAAAAATTAGCCTCTAGAATTTTAACAAACAATTTTGAAATAATTATTAGCATAATCAATAACTACTATTTGGAGATAAACCATATGGATGCTCATCACTTGGGTAGGGTTTACAAAAAAAAAAAATCAAAAAAATCTTAACAACATTGGACAATTTAAATTGATGATAACATAAACAATGCTTGATCCCATTGGGCCTCAACCCACATGGCCCAGACTTGGCCCATCCAAAGCTAATTAACTCAACCTAGATTACCAAGTGATACCAAAACAACTCGACATTCAAGAAAGTCGATTTGGATCTAGCTATCAGAAGAAAAGGAAGAGCTCGACAAAGCAACCCTCCCTTGGATAACAAGTTACCGCCTCAAGTATGTCACCTCGTTGTTTCTAGAAAGTCCACGTGTCCTGTAGATATAATTTCCTCTAACAGCCAAAATAGAAAAGAAATGCCCTACAAAAAGGGAATCAATCTCAATCTATGTAATTATCCTCCTCTTTCTCCTCGAGCAATACAATCAACATTAGACCAAGGAACTTCATTGACAATGGACTAGCCTAAATATTCAATTTGATGAACCACTCACACCCTTGTCTATTTCCCTTACCCTATAGTTGATTTCACAAGCGACACACCTGCACAATCATCAAACACTCACTATTTTCGTAAATCATCATATATAATATTGAATGAAAAATAATAAATTGACTTAAAACTTTATTTTATGAATTATTATCATTGAATGATGTCACATTTTTAAATCAAATTTTAAAGTCTGTATAATATTGCTCATATTAAATAAATTAAAAATTAAATTGAGCACGAATAATTCGGATCACTTGAGAGAGTCGTAACCCTACATAATGGACTTGACAAATGATAACTATATATATATGATTTATTCTTTAGTATTGATATTTAATTACAAAATCTAGGAAATTGCCAGAGAATGGTAATGGATACTAAGACATAAATTTTGGCCGCCATTGTGGTTGTTTTGCTGGAAAATTTCCAAGCAACATAGCACGTGTTTGTTGCATGACAGCCACAGAGTCTCTATAATGAGTGTCCTAATCTTCACAATTTTAGCTCAAATATTTTTTTATGTTCAGTTTGGTACGAATGATAAAAAATAGGAAGAATGAAAAATAAAAGAGATATACTTTTTATCCTTCAAAAAAATAAAGTAAGAATGATACATTTTTCTTCATTTGTATTTGGTTGGTTGGTGGATGGAAAATAAAAATAACTAATTTTTTTTTTTTTTTTTGGTGTCGGCTAAGATTAGGAGTGACAATAAAGTCGTGTTGTGTTGTGTCAGATTTGTGTTAATTCATTATGGATTTGTGTCGAACATTAGTCAAACTAAACTCAACTTATTTAACTAATTGTGTCATGTTAAGTTACGAGTTGACCTGTTTATTTTTGTGTCGTATTCGTATTCGTGTTGATCTACATAAACTTTGAATAAAAAATTTAATGTTAATATTATATTTTTTTATTTTTTATTTTTAAATTTATTATTATATATATATATATATTTATCATTGTATTTTTATATGAAATTAATGTATATATAATATATAGACAAATAAGATACATTTCAACACAAATAATTAACTTTCCATCCACTTTCCTTCCGATTTTGGAGGGATTAATTTTGGTGAGTTAAAAATAAAGTTAATTCATCCACTTTTCTATCATTCCTATTTTTGTTCTTTACCAAACATGATATTTTATTTATCTCTCTATTTTTTCATCCTTCCAATTTTTTATTTTTTTATTATACTAAACGGAGCATTAAGGTTTATTTAGAATAGGTGAGCCCACCTGCTTTGTGGAATCTGTCTATTTTTTTTATCATTATTCTATTCACAAAGAAATCAACATAAAAATACTCCCATCACCAGTCACATTCTAAATTATACAAAGGGGGAACGAAAGCCGGAACGACAGTGAGAGCAAGGGTGCGAGAGCGACAAAATTCAAAAAATTATGAGTACAGTATAAATATATATTTATATTATATAAAAGTTATTGAAAATACATTTTAAAATTTCAATTTTTATATACAAATATATGATAAATGAGTAAAGAAAAAAAAAGTAAAGAAATCAATTAAAAAAAAACATTAAAGAAATCGATTCCAAAGAAAAGGTGAAGGGGAAGCTTTGAGGCATTACAAACCTTGACTTTCAATCCTATATTGAAAATACAAGTGAAAGGGGGAAAGCCATACTTGCATATAAAAGGGCAGTGGCCCTCTACACTCATTTGACGTTTCAGGCATGGCTTTCACGTGGGACTACTTGGCTAGAAATTTCTCTTAATGGAAGTATAGTTAGAAGCAAAAAAAAATGGAGTACAAAAATTTAGTGATATAATTTATTTATTGTTATTTATTCGAATACGCGATTTGTATGAGTGGATTCGTGAATTCATAAAAATAAAAAATTAATGGCGAATTTGCTCTCAAAGCACGAATTGATGTGCAGAGCTTGAGGGCGTAAGATTGTGAACATACATCGTGATTCGTGTGACTCAAGTCACATTTCTATTGTGTCGATTATATGACGTTAGAAGCTCGAATTTAATATGTTTTATGAAATGTGAATCTAAGTATAATACGGCTCTAATTTGGTTCTTCATGGATTAGCTAGGTCCATGTTAATCAAAATTACATCTTCACTCATAGGGTGTGTAATCCATGCCCAGCTCTGGAGTGGTAATCGAAATACAGTAGGGATTATTTTGTTTAGGTATCAAGAGATAAGGTTGGATTAATTTAATTTGGTGATGATATTTAATTTATCATTAATTTTGACCTGCTTCATTATTGTTATTTAACACACAATACTATGCATTATTAATTAGACTAGAGTCCCTTATTTGATTTGTAAACCAATATGAATCTTACCATTTTTTTTTAGTATAAACAAAGATTTTCCGTTTTTTAAAATACTTTGAATGCGATCCTTGGGTTGGTGGGGTTAGGCAAATATTTTATATTAATTACCTATTTTTGTTCTCATTATATGATTTTTAGTCTAAATTTAAAAGATGCGAGTAAACCAAAATAGAAGACATTACCATCCCGTTTTCCTATTCATTCTTGATCAAGAACACATATATCTCCATTTCTTTCTCTAGCAACTACCTCTACGAATATGGGAAATCTTATCTTCATGTTTAGACTTAAAATATTCTTTTTTGATTGGACTTATTTTCGGGGGAAATCTATTCTCGATCAAGAATGAATAGAAAATTTGTTCGGTGCCTTCAAAGCCATAGAAATTGATGTTAGTGACTTATTTTCATGGGAATTCATCAACGCCTCCGACGATGATGAGGAAGATCAATTCGATTACAAATCTTTTCTTCCTTCCTTCATGTTTGATTTGATTTTGGAAACCTTCATGTTTGATTTGATTTTGGAAAGAAATGATGGGTTGAGAAATAGTTTTTTTGGGATTTTTTTTTCTAATTTTACTTTGCGCTCTTCTTTCTTTTTGATTTGTGGGTTTCTTATAAATTAGACTTGCCGACTTGGGTATATTTTGCCTACCTGTTATTTTTATATTTTTTTATTGTGTACCAATTATTTTTTTTTATTACATACCTGTTATTTTTTTTATTACGTACTTGCTCTTTTTTTTATTGTGTATCTGTTATTTTTTATTGCGTACCTGTTATTTCTTTATTATGTACTTATTTTTTTTATTATATACCAGTTATTTTTTATTTTTTTTTGTGTACCTATTATTTTTTTTATTGCGTACCTGTTTTTTTTTTATTTCGTACTTATTATTTTTTTATTGCGTACCTGTTATTTTTAATTACTTCTTATTGCATACCTATTTTTTTGTTATCTTGCATACTTTTTTTTTGTACTTTATTTATTGTGTACTTGTTATTTTTTATTTTTTTTATTGTGTACATGTTATTTTTTAGCTCGAAGGTATATTTATATTTTTTTTAATTAAGTACTTTTATATTTTTTTTAGTGCAGTTGTCTTACGATTTGTGTTTGTGAAAAAAAATGTATAGTATGATAACGTAACTTTTTAGAATAGTTGTTTAAACTAAGTAATGACATTATCGTTATTTTTTACAATTGGACAAGACTTTAGATATGTTAATTGTTTTGACTTTTCAACAAAAATTTAATTCAAAAGAAAATTAAGGAGTGAGTTTTTTTTTTTTTGAATCCTATTAGAGCTAAAGACTGGCCTCCAAATCCTTCCATTATGTATTAATGAGTATTATGTAGTAGGTGGTATTATTTTGAATAAGTATAATATTAAAAATACGGATATTTTATTACCCTTACAAACCGAGATCTATACTTTCATATAAAAGTTACACATTATACAAACTCTTACCCTCAATATTTATTTGTTTATTTTAATTTAATATTATACACTATTATTTAATCTAAACATAAATTTAATATTATCTATATAATAAAATACTTAACTTTGTTTGTTTTGAGCTTTACGCGGCTTATATTGTTTGAGGATTATTGAGTCGACGATCCTAATTGGACTTTCATTCCTTTTAAAACTCTAAGGCTCTTATCTCTTTTATAACTCTCTCTCTATATCATATACTCAAATTTTATATGTACATAATTCTCTCTTTCTCCCTCACTGAGATTTTAAATATATATATATATATATATATATATATATATATATATATATATATATATGAGATAGAATGAAAGTTTAATTATGATTATCAAGACAAATAATAATATCTCGTATTCTCTCTCTTAGCATTATTTGTCTTGACGATCTTAATTTGACTTATTTACTCAAAACATTTGTATGACATTCAAAACCAAGCTAATCACAAAAAAAAAAAAATCAAACTCAAGTTAATCATCAATAAAAAAAATCAATGATTAATAAAAAAAATAAGTGAAATCAATTGCACAAAAAAAATAATATTCTAAATCAACAATCAAATTTTTTTTTCTTATTTGCATTGTTTTTTCCTTGCTAATGTTCGTATTTTTTAAATACTTGAATAATGTAAAATAGACACCGTAACAATTAAAAGGTTAGTTAAATCAATTTTTTTTTAAGTGGTGAAATTTTGATTTTTTTGATTTGGTTTAATTCCAGCGTGAGAATATTTATGTAGTATTCGAGAAGTCATAACGATTGATAATTTAAATTAATTGTCTTTGCAGCCATAAACAGATTCGTCGGACAATGTTAATTCAATTGAGTTTTTTTTTCTTTATATTTTTTAAAAATTTGATTTATAGTTTAATGTAAACTAGACAACTTATTCTTTAGATTTAACAAGAAATTGACAAAATAAACGCTTATTGGAAAGTAGAGTCGTCATGAAAAAATATATGACAGAATAATTTTGTAATAGTGTTAATTTAAGTTTATAAATATTTTCGAATTACGTTAATGTGATATAATTTTTTTCATTTCAATTCTTGATTTTCTTTTATTTAATACATTCTTAGATGTCCATTTGCTTGACAAATTTTGTATGTTAAGAGTGCCTTCGAGCACTCTTAATCGGATCCTTATCGTTAGAGCACAATCCAACCCCAAACAGATGCCGTACAGAATCCTATGTGGATAAAGCAGATCCAAGCTGGGGTGGTAGTAGGCCACACCACACAGCCCACACTTCCATTCCGTCCGTAACTCTGCTCCAAAGCTGCACCCTCCACAGCTATCAAAAAGCTCTCTCGACGAACCTCGGCGACACACTTCACGAAAAGAGAGGTGTACTCCTTTGTCCTAAATGGAGGCACGACGTCGTCTCGCCGTCCTCTCTTCTCATCTTCGCTCCATAACAGCTTCGACCAATTCTCCGAAGTCATACGTTTTAGCTGCAAATTGCGCTTCTTGTTCCGATGTTGGAAAGGGCACTGAAGAAAAGAACTGTGTTTTTTGCAAGATTATTCGAGGGGAAGCAAAGACTTCGAAGGTACTCTCTGTCTCTCTATGTTGTTTTACTTCTTTTCTTTGAATTTGAGTTTTTGATAGCTGTTACTAGTATTATATATCTTGCTTAGTTTAAGGTTTGGCCAAATTCGATCCTAACAAATTTATGGAGATTGTTTTTCTGACTCAACTATTGTGTATAGAGTTGATGTTGCTACCTTAATCGTCTGATGTAGAATTTCACAAATTTGAAGGACTGAGGAATTGTGCACTCACTTTTATTGAATTTGATTTGACTGCAGCTCTATGAAGATGATATATGCCTTTGCATTTTGGATACAAATCCACTGACTCATGGGTAAGGAATCATGTTGAGGATTCGATTAAACTTTATTGAGGTGCCCTTGTTCTTCCGATGTTTGGCATTCACAGTTTTTATCTCCAAAACCTATTGAAGTAATGCAATAATGGGGTCAGAAAGATAGCCGTGTGCTGTTGGCTGTTTAAGTATTAACGATCCAATAAAGCTGTCTTGTCAGTTGTATAATGGGCAAAAGAAAGCATCCGATGTCTTTGTGCATTGAGACCTGCGCTGGTTCACTTCACCTAATACTAGTTGGAGAATATGTTGATTTTATGGCATGCTGAAGACACTAATATCCTTTTGAATAGGGTGGTTTCCATTAAATACCTCCTTAACTGAATAACAAATCTAGTGGGGTTATTTGGCATTTGGCAAGCTCAAAAACTCATAAAATGAATCATTTTTCAGAAGGTTGAAATTCTCTTTTCTGACCTTTGAGAGCCTTCGTCACCTTTTCATGTTCTCATACATTGTTTGGATTTGATTTCAAGTACTGCATCTGCATCATTGAGAACATCAAACAAGATGAAATTTAGCTGAAGTTTAAGTCCAAAATGCACCTGGATATCCGAATATATTTAATCTGAACCACCCTGAATTTCTTGTTTCCAATATCTGCAATCATATATGAAATATGAAGGAGTGCTTGATATCTTATTGAACTGAACAACAGTACTAAGTGTCTACATTATGTTTTGTTGTAATTTTCCTTTTACTTTTTATATTTTTTTTTCAAAAAACACATGAATTGATGTTATGTTAGCACCAACAATACAATTGTCAATATCTTATAAGTATATGATTTTGCTGGAGTCATGTTGTTTTTCCTGTTTTAACCTGAACCCATAGATAGTGAATTGGTGACACTGGTCCTTGGTTTTCTCCCCATGCATATTGATATGGGCACATGATTTTACTAGCTGTTGTCACATATTATAGTAGTAACACTCCAGCATTCAAAATTGGCCCCACAAAATTTTTGTATTATCCTTTTTGTTGCATTGTGAAATTTTGGTATTTGAGTATTTTCCTTTGGTTTAAAAGGTGAAACTTCTGAAATTCAACGACCTCAGACTAATCTTTTGAGAAAATCATTACTTTGACATTCATGCATTATCTCTTACAATTTCTTCCCCATGGTTGGATTTTAGTCATTAATGCGATTGTGGAATGAACCTCATGTTTTATTGCCTGCATCTACTCTGAGCATGTGATCCACTCTTTTGAAAGTGTCCATTTTGGCTACTAAAGCTGTCTTGCTAGGACTTCCGGTAACTTCTTTGTTGTTGACCAGAGTTTAAAAGATTGGCCACATAATGTTTGAGAGCTATAATATTAAGCACTCCAAAACTTGATTGCAGGAAGATGGATGCAAATTGACTTAAACCTGTAGGAATAAGCATAAAACAATATGTAATGGAAGTAAGTAGAAATTTCAGTATGAAAGCCTCTCTAATGGCACATTTTGTTCCCCAATGTGCTAACTATGATTTTATTTGCCAAACTTAAGCTCTTAGTTGGATTGCATATTTAGACTTCTCTTTGACTGGTAAAAATGCACTAAGTGCCCCATGTTTAATTAATAAACTGATGGTACATTGTTGCATTCTTCTTGGTTCCAAAATCTGCTTTCCTCTGAGCTTATATCTGTAAGTTTCAAATGAGCTGTTGACTGCATCATGCTTTTGTTTTTGTTGAATAAAAGGTATATTGCATCACTGTTCAGGCGGACCTCAACTAACTGGACTTATCATCTTGCACATAATAGTTGTTGTTTAGAATGTAATTACTATGTTACATAGTAGTCATAAAGGCATCTATTGTTCTCTTTTCTCCTTGATTTCTTATGTCTTCCGTTATTTTGTTGTAAAATAACTGTGTTTCAAACTTCTGTCATAGGCACTCTCTCATAATTCCAAAATGCCATTTTTCTTCCTTGGATGCAACTCCTCCATCGGTAAGTTATTCTCATAAAATAAGGCCAAATCTTATCCTGCAGTTTATAATTTCATGGATTACCTAGCTCATTCAGAAATTTTTTAGACATGCTAGATATTGTTGTATCTTATTGACATGGAACTGTGGCATCATCAGATTACTGTGGGTAGGTTTGTGAGGCAGATACAGGTTACAGTACAAAGATAAATTATGATTGTAAGTAAGAATTAACTTTAAGGAGGGGAGAAGAGCTTAAACAAAGGCTATAAATAAAGGACTCAAATACTTCAGTAATGTCACTAAAGAGAATGGCAAGTTAGGTTCACCTTAGACTTCCACTTCCCACTTTATCTTGTATGAAAACTGCCATTTGCAGGACTGCAATTGTCATTTGCTAATACCTAGTTAAGGTCACAGAGAACACATCGAAGCATTTTACATTGTAAAACCTAATGCAAAATCAGATATTAACATCAGACACTATATCTGATTCCACTGTTATGTGTAGCATCTCTAGGAATTATTTGAAATTAATTACTTTTGCTCAATAACTAGTTTTGTCTAGTGAGGTTGATTACACTTGAATTAGTTTCATATTTTACCTTCGAGTTATTTTGTGTTTTTGCCCTGTTTCTATAAAATCACATGATATGCGTCTTCCATGGACTTCACTGTGAAACGAATTGTATGAATATGGTTGACTTCCATGAACTTCAATTTCATGTGCAGTGGCAATATCTTTTCCTTTAATCAGAATTCATTAAAATACAAAGATCACTGAATATCTAATTTAGAGACACTTTTAACCCAGGTGGTAGGTGCCATGTGTTCAAAAGTACCCTTAATCGGCAATGCTGTGTTGAAAGCTACTGGATGTGGTACGTGTTATTCTTTATGGATCAGATCAATTACTTCATAATTCATCGGATGTTGAGTTCTTCTTTATTTTTCTTCCTTCCTTCAACGTGAAGGAGAGGAAATGGTTGGAACTCGTCTTTTTTTGGGGGCTTCTACTTCTTTCTCATGAATGGTGTGCATTATTTAGTGATACTGCCTTAAGTTATGTCAATGCCATAGGAATTAAGGTTGGTTGGAGCTGTCGTATATTTGGACTAACAGTCAAGTACCTGTGGTTACTGGGTGGGAAGATCAGACCCAAACCCTGGCAATGTGAAAAGCCAATACAAATATGAGCCCCAGTCCATTATTTTTAGTGTCTAGTGCTGGCAAACCCAATGCTGTTACTTTCAGATACTTTCATGGATAATTATATGAGAATAATTGTGGATAGCATAGTTGTCAAATCACGTATCGGAAGACGTATCGTTTTTAAAAAATAGTGTATCGTATCGTATTGTGTATCATAAAATATGCGCAATTTTAATTTTTAAATAATTATTAATAAAATTTATATATATTCCTTTGAAAAAAAGTCATAGGCTTATAATAATATAACATTTCATTAATATTCCACAAACTATTTAAGTTTTCAATATAGTTAAGTAATATCAAAATGTAAAGATCTCTAATTCAAACTTCTAACATCAACTACTTGAACAACCTTAATATTAATCAGGACTTTTGAATTAAATTGAACAATATTAACAACATATTTTATTTTATTTTTTTAAACCATACCCACTAAAATTACGTTGTTTCACTGGCTAGTAATTTAAAAATAAGTGTTAGGGTAAAACGATATCATTTCAGTCCCCAAAAAACTAAAAAAAAATAAAAAAAACATAATCTTTACGTATCGTATCGTGTATCGTACGATACGGTATAAAACGATACAGCGATACGATACGTATTGTTTTTCAGGTGTATTGTGACGTATCGTACGATATTAATAACTATGGTGGATAGAAGTTTAACTAAGCTAGAAGGAAAGCATCTTAATTTCTATCATGTCTTCTTGTTTTGAAATGGAACATATTTGATATACATGTTGTCCTTATCCAGTATGCATTCATGATTTTTCGTTAGAATAAGTATTCAAAAAATGCCACTTTTACAATAATTACTACCAAATTCACTTGGTAAATGATACATATACATCAAATGATCTTTCAAATTGGTTTGTTAAATGTACAGCTAAGTGCTGAGTTGATTGGTCTGACGAGATGCTTTCTGCATGCTTGTTCTCATATTTGCTTGCGCCATATATTGAAATGTGATTTATTGCATATATACTTTTGATGGGAGTCTCTTTTCCTGGCACAATCACATGGATTTCCTTATCTATGTTACCTCTGTAATTCTGTTCACATGGTGAGGGGCCCCACATCTATCTAATTTGTTCTGTGCTGGTATGAATAAGTTGGCCAGGGGGATGATATATATATGTTGTCATCTCAATTGCCAGTTGCTGTAACCTAATGTCTGAAGGAAAATAATCAAAGTGGTTTCTTACTCATTGAGATTTTTCCTTTGCCATCCAAGGAGAATTCTCAGCAAGTAGGAAATTTATAAGATTAGTTAAGTGATGAAACGTGATTGGTTTTAATAAGCTGTCTTAATTTCCTATGCATATAGCTATACTCACCTTCTGACAGATCTGCCTCGACCTAGTAAGAATATATGTGTAACTCTGATTTAATCTAAGGTCTTAACTATGCAGATTCATTCAATTTGTTGGTTAACAATGGTGCAGCAGCGGGCCAAGTTATATTTCATGTCAGTCTTCTGTAGATACTATGCGTGTTTCTTTCTGGTTAGTTATTTTTATGTTTCTATTGAGAGAGCTGATAAGCTAAATGGAATTTTCTCATTACATGGCAAGTTCAGACTCACATTCATATCATTCCTCGGAATGCTCGTGATTGCTTATGGGCTTGTGAGGTATGCTGTTTTTCTTTTTATGCTTCTTTATATGTGGGAATGAAATAAACTTACATGAGAGATTAAACTTGAACCTATACAGAGTTTGCCGAGGTATCCCCTAAAGTTAGATCAGAAAACTTCACAACTAGTGGATCACGTTCGACAACAATTGTCATTTGTGGACAGCTTTGAAGCAATCAAAGGTCAAGGATCCACTCTCATGTGAGTATTAAACTTGAACTGAATGCTGATTTGCTGAGGGATTGGGTAATGTTAGATCAGGAAGCTTCAAGACTGGCTGATATCCTTCAACTCGAGAATGATTTTCATCCACGGTAGCCATGGAGGTAGCAAGGGCCAATGCTCCACCCTCCTTGAGTTGCATTCGAGAAAGATAATCATTGTTGGGCAGTTTTGAAGGTCGAAGGTAGCTAGGGTAAAGGAATAAAGGATCCACCCTCACGGAGATCTGCTGCGATGGTTGATCCTTAAGAGCATACTTCTTTGTATAATGTATACCCAGTTAAGTCACAATTATACACACGTCTTTCTATATACTATGTATATGCAGGACTTGCAGTAATGAGTTGTTTGTTGTGAACCTGGATAGACCAATTACTGTGGTCAATGTCCTAAATTCAAACGGCTGAAATTCGCTTTAATTATTGAATGGTAGTGTCATATTGTAATAATTTTAATACATTAATGATTTAATGTTAAAAGTCTTATCTTGTATAAAAATTATTAAAATTTTCAAGGTGTATAGTGCAATTCCAAATCATGCCATGGGCCTTAATGATCCAGTCCATTGGGCCCTATATGCAAACATATGGGCTTAGGATTCCACTTATTGGACTAATAGGCTGCCCACGGGGCTCTCATGTGACAAAACCTTTGCCAACCAATGGCTCTATTAAAACCAGGCTTTCGGACCAATTCATGGGCTATGGCCTTTTGCCTCGTCTTCTTTGCACAAATTGAGTACCAGATACCCCAATGAAGACATGGGTAATCTATTATAACTTCCTTGGGATAACTTCCTCTCCTGGAATAACTTTCATAGAGGCGCGGGGAATTTATTCCAATGGATTTTCTAATTTCGGGATAGATGGGATTAAAAGAGAATTAGTCAATGTATAGATAAGTTGACTTAGACATATACAAGACACTCCCATGAACAAATGCAAATTTAAATAAAAGTGAAATCTGACCATTGAAAATAAAAAAGTAAAATCTGACCATTGAATTGAAAATAAAGAAGTGAAATCTGACCATTGAAAATTGAGTAAAGATATACGTAAAAATTTGAGACTCTCTTCACTTGATATGAGTTTGATTAAATAATTGGAGGTTATTTTAATTTGTTTTTATTTAAATTTAAATTTAAATAAAAAATTGAATAAAAATTAAAAATGCTCTTCCCAGCTCGAGATACATACATAGTAAAAAATTGAAAAAAATTGGATTTGTTTTTTAAACACGAGAGATAAAACAAACATTACTTTGGTCAAACAGGTAATGGGTATGCTTTTATTTTAACACCCAAATTAACATAATCGTCGAAAATTACACTTTCCTCGTCAATGTCGCAATTATTTTCATACGAATAGATCTTTCTTGAAGCTTCACGAGAAACACGGCTGAAAAATGACGCCCAATCGGAAAATCAATTTTGATTTTGATTTTTGACTTGTAACCACTATTCCGTTCCACCTAGGAGTATTAGAGCATCTCCAACCATCCTCTTTACGATTATTAGTCAAAATATATGTAAATATTACATTCACTACTTTAACTAATCACTTTTATAAATTCACTTCAACTACACTCTCTATTTTAACTAACTACTACACCCATTTTTCATTAACTTCTAATAATTTAAAATAAGTAAAACATATATATAGAAAGAGATAGAAAGAACAAAAAGGTAGAGAGAGAATTTAGAGACCTCAAATGGCTCACCAAATTTGGGTTAACTAGGAAATAGAGAGTGAAATAGAGTGGGTTAGAAAAATTTTTTGTGTTTGACTAGTTAAAATAGTTAAAAGAGAAGAAATAAAGTGTGGTTAGAGATGCTCTCAGCTCTTAACATAAATCCGACATAAATTCGAAGATTATAAAATTAAAATAATTATTAATTATTGATAATAAATAATCTTGATTAATATTTAATATTTAAAATACACTAAATATATTTTTTTCATAAATTCTAATACAAATACGGTACAAATAACATTAACACGATACGATACGAGAGTTACGCGGATACCTGAGTTACGACACGATTGAAACTTCCGACCCTCTCCCACCCCCCAACACACAATTTCCTCTTTCTTTCTTCAGGCGCGCAACGTAAAGCATATATAGTCGTGGACTCGTTTTCTATAGAGAGGAGAAATAGGGTTGAAGAGACGATACAGGCGAGAGAGGTTACGGAAAGGGATATCTCAGGGGAGAGAGAATGGCTCCAACAGTGGCTTCCTCTGCGGTGGCAAAACAAGCGGAACTACGGAAGCAAGAGGGCAACAATTGTTTTAAGAAAGGTCGATTTGGTGCGGCCATCGATGCTTATACTGAGGTCTCTGCATGTACTTTTGAATTCTTTTTTCTTCTTGATGTATACTTTCTATTTCTTCTCTCAAAAGCATTCTCTTGTTTTTGTTTAATTTCTCAGGCTATTGCTTTGTGCCCTAACGTTCCAATATATTGGACGAATCGTGCTTTATGCCATCGCAATCGGAAGTATGTAACGATCACGTGTGCCTTTTACCCCTTCTTATAAGTGTTTGCTGTTGATTTTTTTTAAATTTTTTTAATTTTGATGATTTGGTACTTATATGCGGTCCTGTCTGTAGTGATTGGAAAAAAGTGGAGGAAGATTGTCGCACTGCTGTACAGCTTGATCACAACTCAGTCAAGGTTGGTAGACTGTCGCAAATTTCAGTGTTTCTTGATTTTCTTGGAATTTGTGGATTAATCAGTATCACAACTGAAATTGGAGGGCCTCTTCAAGGTTGTTCTTGATTTTTCCTCTCCGTTAGAATCATGGTTCAAAGTCGTGGTATCGGCTACCATCAACTCGGAGAGCTTTGAGATAAATTGGTCGGGTATCGCGGCGCGGTATTGGGCGATACTATTTAGAAGAAAATGTGGAACATGATAGAAATTCAGTACATATCGTGGGGTCAGTGTGTCTTGGAACCATATTGGTCAATTCGGTGGCTATATTTCGGCGGATCGACTCGGATGGCTCGGCCGAGTTGTGTGAGACTCTATTATTATCCGATGAGCCTAATAAAATCTTGCAGCAAATACGAAATACTTATTTTGCTCATGAATATATATTGACCCATTTTGGCTATGAGGTCAATATAATTGATGATAGCGATGTAGATGAACATCCTAGTGAAATATGTGTATCTAGCATGGTGAGTCACTATACCGATAGTGACTCATAAACGGTACTTACTTAGATCTAAGAAGGGGTAAAGGGCACATGTGATTGTTACTCTAGCACTAATATTACTTAGACTATTATCTGATTTTTTATCGATATGGAAAATATGATTATAATTGTTTTCCAATTTTTCTTAACTTGAAGCTACACATTCAATATGTTGATTATTATTGTTTGCCATGGTAGACTGTTGATAGTATCTAAGACCTCCTATTATATTGAAGTTGCAGGTTAGGTGCCTAAAACCAAATTTCCTAAAAGACCAACAACGGCAAAGTCTAAACTTAATGGTCGAAGATGGGATATGGTTTTTTTTTCAAACTGCTAACAATGAAACAAGCAAAATAACCATACATAAAAATGAAAAGATTCAAATATATGAAAGCTAGAATTTATTATAATGATATTTTAGGGAAGGATAAAACTTACAGATGATATAGCTAAACAAGGAGTAATCTTGCTCTGATACCAAATGCAAGGGGAGGATCTTTTTCTGCCCATATTTCTGCTGGTATGGCTTTGAGAACGCATCCCCAACATAAATTAGATGCATCAGTCTTTAAAATTAATTTATCTCCTTGTCTATAAAAATAAACCTTAGGGATATTTTTAAGTTCTTCCTTAATTTTCTTAATTAAGGCTTTGTCTTTATCGTTCCACTCAAACTCTTTATCTTTTTTGAGTTTTTCTATCAAAGGAATTTCTTTCCTTGATAGATCCTTGATAAAATTGCTCTCATAATTTAAAATTCCTAGAAGATTTTGTAATTGTTTATTTTCTCTTAAATCTTCAAAAAATTCTTTAATTTTTGAAATTATATGTTTTTGCAATCTTATTCTTTTATGGTCTAATATTGTTCCCAAAAACTCAATCGACTGTTTTTCTACCTCGATCTTTTTGGGTAAAAGTATAATTCCATGTTTGAAATTTTTCGCATATTATTTTAAGATGCTTCCTATGTTTTTCTAAGGTCACGGAGAACACTAGAATGTCATCTACATATACTATACAAAAATCTTAAAGGTCTTTAAGGATTTCATCCATCCATCTTTGGAATATTGTGGAGCATTACGTAGACCAAATGACATTATTGTCCACTAGTAATGAGCTCCAGGAGCACTAAAAGTGGTCAATGGTTTTAACTCTTCTCTAAGCTGAATTTGCCAAAATCCTAACTTACAATCAAATTTACTAAAATACTTTGCACCTTTAGTCTGTTTGACTAACACATCTTTTCGATGAATAAAATATCCATCAAATTCGTGCTGATCATTTAACTTTTTATGGTTAATGACCATTCGAGCTTTTCCACGCCTAATCTCACTATGGTTTCTTACTATAAAGGATGGACTAGAGTGTTGACTTGTGGTTGTCTCAATTAGCTTCCTTTCTAGAAGCTCTTTCAGTTGAATATTAAACTCATCTATATCCTGTTTAGTAGATCATTGGTTTAACCCTAATTATAACATTAGGATCTCTTAATTTTAAACTACAATATCGAGGACTTCGACACCATAGTTTTAGTGGGTCTTCACTAAAATTACTTTCTAAAATCTTATAAACCCAATGCAACTTGTCTAGCGCAAAAATGGGTGTAAGTGCATTATCACCACGCTTGCTTGGCGCAAAACCTTTCTCACACTTATATTGGTGTTGTGGGATCAAAGGGATATCAAGTAACTCTTTTCTAAGGTTAGTCCAATAGATTTTGGATAGATATGCATTGGTAATAATTATCAATGAAATTATTTCCAAGGATAAAGTCGTCACGCGTTGATGGAAAACAAAGTATTTTTGGAATTACATATTGTTTTCCATTTAACCAGATTGCTAGTTTTTTAGCTTTAAATATGATTAATGTTTCATTGCCATCTATACCTTTAGCTAACATAGGGCGTTTCATACTCATCCATTTTTCTAGTGGTAGTGCATTCCATTCCATCTATATACACTTGTAGTGGCGTCAGTATTAATTAATACACTAAGGCTATATGACTTATAACTTGTATAATTAAATTCTCCTAAAACATAAGTATATTTTTTCTTTATGTTGCTTGATGAAAAGATAATATCTTGTGATCCATATGAAGATGATAAAATCTTGTTGAATTTATCTCTTTTTTTTTTTTTGTCTTTCAGGTATGTAGTTCTTGGGGGTATAGAAATTTGTACGGATTTATAAGTAATAGAGTCAGAGTTTGATGTTTCTTCAAACTCTTTTTTATAAGGTTCATTAAGAGCAAGTTTTGAGAATTTTTTCCAATTATCTTTATAAACCCAATTTAGGCATGTTTTTATTAATTTTTTACTTTGAGATCGTTTATCTCTAAAATACATATTTTTATCTAAAACTTGCATTTCAATCGGATTTGTTATCCTTATTGATGGTTCTTCAGTTAAATTATTTATCATCCATTGTCTTATAATTTCTAAATCTTTTCAATTAATTGATCGAGATTTTATTGCCGTGTCAAAGGCTCTTGGTTCAAAAATTTCTACAATTTCTCTGTTTAGATGTTTTGTAGAAGTTTGTGGTAACTTTGTTAATTCATGGAGGGTTTTCCAATGGATTGCCATATCATAAGAATTATTTTTTATTTCTATGTTTTGGATAAGAATTTTAATTTTTACTGAATCTTTGAGATTCGGATCATCAATCAAAATAAAATAGTTAGATTTAATATTAAACCAAACTACTCTTGAGATCAAATTCGATTGAATTCTGCCTATTATTGCTTTCAATGGATTGTTAAAGTGTTTGTCTAACACTACAACCAAGATAGGTGTGTCTATTCCTTGTCTAAATAGACCGGTAGTAGTTATTTGTATCATCCCTATATGAATATATCTTATATTTGAAAATTGTTTTTTACATCTAGCAATGTTCTTTTTATCAAGGAGTGCTAATTCTGCGGTGCCTTCTGCAGAACATTTAGCGACTGTGTTTCCACTAAATTGTTCAAATACTCTAGCTGAGAATGGGTTGAACCAAGAAATTTTATATATTTCATCTTTTTTTTATTTTTCTCAATTTTTCCAATTGTTCTTTAGGAAAGATGACTTCATCACCAACTACATCTCCTACCCTGATCGAATTTCTTTTTTCTTCAGGTATTTCTGATGTATGGTACTCTTGTAGCATAAAGATTTGGTCTAAATCTTAATCACTACTTTCTTCTTCACTTTCTATCTCATATAAGATATCTTCTATATCAGAGATTTCTTCTCCATACAGAACTTTTAATTCTCGTTCCTCAAGCATTGTAATCATTTTCTTAGCACTTTGTCCTTTTTTGGGGCAATTGAGTGCTATATGGCCTTCCTCGTTGCAAATATAACATTTGCAACCTTTTTTATTAGAGTTAGAATTTTTTCCAGTTTTCTTTTTCCTAACATATTTCTTATGTTTAGATTTTTTTGTCCCTTTTCTTCCTTGGTTTTCACTTAAATTTCTTTTTATTGTGCAATTTCTTTTGTCTAGGTGGTTGGCATTCAACCTTCCAATTTTCTAAAATTTTGTTACAGCATTTTTGGCCATAAGCAATGTTGCTTATTTGGTTTTCTACCTGATTTTTGGCTTTAACCGAGATATAGTGATCAACAATAATTCTAAGAATAAAGCTGCTTCTAAATCCCAAAGTATCTGATTTTTCTATTGAACATAGGAATTTTGGTTACTTTTTTACACATAATTCATCCATGAATTTGGGAGTTTATTAAAAAATTGGTTTAACCAAAAATTATTATCTGATGGGTTTAGCTGATAATAATATTTTTGAAATAACTTCGCATACTCTTTGAAATCACATATATGACATAACTCTAGTTTTGAGAGTATGTATTGTGCGTCTTCTTGTAGAATTTTTCCACCAACTTTGCCGCATATATTTTCTTTGATAATTTTGGTGAATCCTTTCAATACATCTGTAAAGCTAGATTGAATACCTAGCAATTCAGTTTTTTATTTTTTCCTTTTGTAGTTTTTTCCCACTGTTTTAGCCATTGCAACACATTGCCTTGAAGTGTCGCTGCTAAATAGTTTAAGAATTTTTCTTTAATCCATTGACTTTTATAATTTGTGATGAGAATGGACAGGGATTGTGCCCAATCATCAATAGTTCTATGATAATCTTTGAATGAATATTTCTTATATCTAAGTAAGTCCCGTTTTGGGCAACACTTATTTTGTTATTATCATCTCTTTTCATAATGAAGATTGGAGATCGGTCAACAACTGAGCTAGTTGTGGTATCACTCGAAGAAGGTTTTTCTTTAGTGGCTTTTATGTATTCTTCTAAATTTTGATACATGTCTTCCTCGGTGTTTCCGAATTCATCTAATTTTCTTTTCCCCCGATTTGGCATTTTTGCACCTCATCTTCCATTTCTATATTTGAATCATTTTTTTCAGATTCACTATCGGTATCGTGACTCACCACGCTAGTTGCGCAGATTTCACTGGGAAGTTCATCTACATCACTATCATCAATCATATTGACCTCATAGCTAAAATGGGTCAATATATCTTCATGAGCAAGATACGTATCTCGTATTTGCTGCAGGATTTT